AGTCTCTGTCGCTGTCTGTCCCTATGTATACTTAAATCTTTAAAACTACGCAACGGATTTTGAAGCGGTTTTTTTTTAATAGATAGAGTGATTCAAGAGGAAGGTTTATATATATAATACATGTACACCCGTGCGAAGCCGAGGCGAGTATCTAGTCATTACATAGTATAAAACCAAGTCTCTGTCGCTGTCTGTCCCTATGTATACTTAAATCTTTATAACTACGCAACGGATTTTGAAGCGGTTTTTTTTTAATAGATAGAGTGATTCAAGAGGAAGGTTTATATATATAATACATGTACACCCGGGCGAAGACGGGGTGGGTAGCTAGTATTATATAAACTTGAATTTTTATTATAAGTTCCTCACATAACGTAATGTTTATGATGGGACTCTAACACATTCGGCATTTTCAGTTTTCCTTGTGCAGGATGATGAGCACAAAGGACAGGAAAGTAGGTGGGCTATAGTCTGGGACGGTGCGCCCCAGTTGCCTCCCTTAAAGTGACAACCTATATCACCAAGTTGTAATTGAATCTTAGACCAAGTCTACATTACATTATCATAACATGTGCATTTTTAAATATATAATTTAATGTTTGTATGCATATCAGTGTCACGCCCTACCATGACCGAAAGGTTGTTTGTTCAATTCTGGTAGACACCAAAAAAAATACTATCTTTATGTATTTCTTGCTGACTCTAAGTTTGTGGAAATGTTAAATATAAAAATAAATTGACTGAAGATATAATGGTAGATCGGCCATTTAAAATATACCGAGAGGGATATGCCAGAGGTACGCCACGTATTTCTTTTACAGTCGCATGGTTTGAGGAAATCAAATTAAATGTAGAGTACATTACACTATTACATTAGTAATATGTGCATTTTTTATCATATAATATGATATTTGTATGCGCATAAGCGTCGTACCCTACCATGACCGAAAGGTCGTGTGTTCAATTCTGGTAGACACTAAAAAAAAATGCTAACAATATTTATTTAGTTTTGTGATGAAAGTATTAATGATAGAAACAAATTAACCGAAGATATAATGGCAGACCCGTCCATTTAAAACATACCGAGCGAGACTTGGGCATATTAGGTATTGCTTATTCGCAAGCGCATAATGAGAGGAAGGTAAATGTTAGTAATGTGGACTAATAACCCCATTGTTAGCAATGTATCATGTCAGACTGAGCAACACACGGTTCCCCCTGGTAACCATTGTGATAAATGACCATTTTCTAAGATGTGCTAATCTGACTTAGTGCTCATTCTATCACCCTCAACAGTTAGCGCAAGTGCATCATTCTATTAATATCAGTAAAAATAATCGACAATATCTCTCATTATCATATCAGTTGTGATAGTGCTTAAGGTATATTATTATTATTTAAACATTGGTCTCAATAATTTATTTACAAATAGCAGTTCCCGTGGCTTCGTCTGCGTGGTATTTAATTTTATATTCTCTTCCTACATTAAAAGATTTTTCTAAAATAAAAGTAGCCTAGGTAGCCTTATTACATCAGCTACCTAGCAAAAAAAGTCCCGTCAAAATCGGTCCTACCATTTCAGAGATTAGCCGGAACAAACAGACAGACTGACAAAAATTGTAAAAAATGTTATTTTGGTGTATATACCGTATTTATGCTCGCGGCTTCGCTCGCGTTATTTTACCCCTTTGGGGGTGGACTTTATCAAAATCCTTTCTTAGGCATGGCTACGTCATAGTAGCTTTATGCAAGCAAAGTCTCAGCCCGATCGGTTTAAAATTGACGAAGTTTCATACAAACTTTCAACCCCTATTTGATCCCCTTGGGGGTAGAATTATTCAAAATCCTTTCTTAGCGGATGCCTACGTTATAACATCTACCTGCATGCCAAATTTCAGCCCGATCCGTCCAGTGGTTTAGGCTGTGCGTTGATAGATCACTATGTCAGTCACCTTTGAGTTATATAACGGTTATTTCAATATTACAAACAGACACACCAATTTTATTTATATGTATAGATGATATTGAAATGAATCTTCTAGCATTTTATAGCTACACTCTTTGAAAGTTTCAAACGGTTTGACCCTACGAAGGTATCTAGCAAAAACTAAAACCCTCTAACAAAAACTATTTCTAATTTAGCTGGCCCACGGACGCTGTGCAAATAGATCGTATGATTTTATCCATGTGTGGGTTATAGTTAATGTGACCAGACATCCCATTTTGAACGGGACAATCTGCCCCTCCGATCGATCCCCCGTCGAAATTAGAACGGCCTGAGCCGAGGTTCGAACCCCTATTTTTTTTTATTGGGATGAGGCACTGCGATCTACATAGATCTATTGTAAAGTTCGCTACCTAGACCCATCAGGTTTTTATTGAGTTTTTGAGCTATTGTTAGATGTATGTAGCACCTGTAACACTGCGAACTACATAGATCTATTGTGCTCACCCTTTTTCAAAGTTCGCTACCTAATCCCATCAGGTTTTTATTAGGTTGTTTGGGCTATTGTCAGATGTTTGTAGCACCTATAGCACTGCGAACTACATAGATCTATTGTGCTCACCCTTTTTCAAAGTTCGCTACCTAATCCCATCAGGTTTTTATTAGGTTGTTTGGGCTATTGTTAGATGTTTGTAGCACCTATAGCACTGCGAACTACATAGATCTATTGTGCTCACCCTTTTTCAAAGTTCGCTACCTAATCCCATCAGGTTTTTATTAGGTTGTTTGGGCTATTGTCAGATGTTTGTAGCACCTATAGCACTGCGAACTACATAGATCTATTGTGCTCACCCTTTTTCAAAGTTCGCTACCTAATCCCATCAGGTTTTTATTAGGTTGTTTGGGCTATTGTCAGATGTTTGTAGCACCTATAGCACTGCGAACTACATAGATCTATTGTGCTCGCCCTTTTTCAAAGTTCGCTACCTAGAGCCGTCAGGGACAACAATTGAAGGATATTCTTGGGAGCGATGGTTTTTATCTCCTCAGGAAAGTGTAGACTTTCCAAAGGAGATATTTCTTTTATGCACGAGTGGGCTACAACCACATAGGATGTGTAGTGTCGTTTCTTCTTCAGTTTGGCAGAATCTGCAGATTTTTGTTATGCATAGTCCTAGAACCCCTAGCGGTGCCCTCAGACTAAAGTCGTATCCGTCAGGCGGGAGTTGGCCTTCAGCCGCTCCATAAGTCCTTCCGCGGGTTTGGAGTGCCATCTGCACTCGCCCCCTATTGTCCGGTGAAGCTGTAAAGGTCAGCTGCGGCCAACAGCATTAGAGTAGTCCGAAAAAAAATTTTTATAAATACGAATTCCTGGATCCTCGAAGTGAACTCTGGGACGCAAAATTGTCCCGTTTTCGGTAATCGTGCGAAATTTTGAGTGAACGGTTGTTGGTAGTTAAGGTGAGTATAAAAAAACGTTCGTCATTCTTACTTCAAATCTTCTTAAATATGCAAATATGTTCTTCCGATAAATATATAAATATAAATAAATATTTTATTTATTATAATATCATAAATATAATTAAACAAATTGTTTAATTATATTTATTGTATTTTTTAATTCGTAACTTTTAAGCTAACTCTTTTCAAAAATTTTTTTTAAATTAACTGTCTATTAATTGATCGGTCTCGGTGGTCTAGTGGTATAGCATACCGCCTTATTTTCGATGGTCGTGAGTTCGATTCCTCGCACGACACAAGCATTTGTATTCATCAATATGATTGTTTGTATCGGTCTGGCTGTTTTCTATGTATAATATGTATGTAATTACAAAATAAAATCTATGTTACGTATCAGTTATCTAGTATCCATAACACAAGCGTTAGCTAGCTTAACTTGGGTCTAGATGACGCTGTGTGAATTGTCTTGAGATTATTATTATTTACTCTACATTTTCTCAGCTTTTGCGGGTTTTTTCCACACTTACTGGCCGAAACCAAGTAAGTGCAGTGTGTGAGTGTATGAGAGTGTATTATGTGACTGGTGTTATGACCTTTTCACCGATTTCCAGAAATTTCCGGACAGTTCGACAAGTGTTTAAAATGGCAGCCTTTTTAAGGGTGATATAGAGTGGTTTGTGTATATTTAATTGTTTCAGAATATGATATAGGTGATTAGGTATGATACCTGTGGATGAGAGGACTATTATTGGTATTATTATTATTATAAATAAACCATTGTCCCGTTTTGAGTCGAAGAAGAAATGGTCACGTTAGCTATAGTGGTAGTTTGGTTAAGTAAACACGTCATTAGCTCAGAGGAGAGCTCGGTGAGATTAGGCGGCTCGTACACGGTCCAGCGGTTGATGAAACAATTGGCTTTGCAGCTTAAAATTATTTGATCAAGCTGTTTGTGATACGCGTTTAGCTTATCAACCTGTGGGATGCCTCATTATGTGTATTATGTACACTGACTCATATTGTAACTTTGAATCAAATATTAGACAAAGTAAATAATAATATACATAAGATTATAAACAAAATCCCAGTTCCTGTACTCAATTTGCCAGAAAAAAATTCAAATGTGTTATAAATTATTTTCTTTGTAAAAATACTTATTATAAAATTGATGAATTTATAAATGATAATAGTGTTTTTGTAGAAAATATCTAACTTAAAATTCATAGCGATGACAGTGTTATATGATTAAACAGAGATTAAGTGTGTAGCGGTTTCTATGTTGATTGTCGCATGCCTAATCATTGTTGTTGTAAATATAAGTAAATCAATATTTATTTAAAAGAGCAATACACAAGTTTCATGCTTATTCTTCTTGTGATGAATCTGCATCCCGAATGACCGGTAGAATAAAGAAACTTGACTATTCAAAAGTGCTTATATTAAGTTTATTTGAATAAAGATTATTTCTATTTTTATTTCTAATGATAATAACATGTACACACACTTGACTTACTTGGTTTTAAACTTTCGTGTTTAATATACATTATTTAAATTATTAACCGGGTCTTAACACGAATAATTTTATGGCAAATAAATGACACACGGACAGGCAGAACGTATAGCCGATCTCAAATGTGCAGTTCATAATAAAAAGTTATTAAAATTGTCAACGCACCAGAAACATAATAAAACGGTTTCACATATTGGTTTGATAGATGTACAGGCAGACAAGGTACAGTCACTAAAAAAAGTGGATTCGTCAGATGTGGTGATTAACCTGTCGGGTGAAAAGTTGGATTATGCAACAGTTAGCATTTTAGCCAAAGGACTAAATTTCGCTTTGACACCACGCAGGGTTCCTTATGAAAGCATCATCGGAAGTGTCGAAGAAGCTATCAACCGAAATAAAATACCATATAATGACGCGGAATCACTGAGACAGGACGTAGCAAACATCTTAAGGAAGACAAAGCTGCCAAAAAGTAACGTTACAGCCGAAGAACGATATGCACTGGAATGTATTCGTGAAAATGAGAATATCTTGGTACTCAAGGCCGACAAGGGTAATGCTACCGTAGTAATGAACACTTCTGATTATGATAGTAAGATACGTGTTCTATTATCAGATACTAGTGTATACAAACGTGTATCCTACAATCCAACGGCCAGAGTGACACGTCGAACACGAGCACTTATTCAAGAACACCGTGACATTTTCACTGAAGAGGAATATAATAGTCTTTACAGGGCGAAACATATTCAAACACCAAAATTATATGGCTTACCCAAAATACACAAAAAGAACGCCCCTCTTCGACCAATAGTTAGTCAGATCAATTCACCAACTTATGATCTGGCTAAACATGTTGCGAAGATCCTGCAGCCACTAGTGGGTAAGTCGTCCTCTTTTGTGAAAAATTCTCACCATGTCACGGACATACTAAAAAGCACAAAACTGGAACCTACAGAGATAATGGTGAGTTTTGACGTTGAATCATTATTCACCAATGTTCCAGTGAATGAGTGCATGGAGGTGGTCAAGGATAGGCTATTGGAGAAAGACCTGCCGTCACAGTATAGTGTACTTCTGAAACATTGCTTGGATGCAGGCTATTTTCTGTACCAAGGTGAATACTACCTTCAAATAGATGGCGTTGCAATGGGGAGCCCAGTGGCACCATTAGTAGCTAATATTTGGATGGAGCACATTGAGACAAAGATTCTTACTCTTAGGCCATTAGAAATTAGCCTGTGGAAAAGATATGTAGATGATGTTTTTTGCATATTTAATGGTACACAACAACAAGCAGACGAATACCTAAAATACCTAAATTCCATACATTCTAAAACCAAATTTACAATGGAATTGGAGAAAGATAGGTCCTTAGCCTTCCTGGACATCCTAGTTATGGTGAGATCTGATGGCTCGGTTACACACACAGTATACCGGAAACCAACACACACAGATCCTCCTCATATCATCACCCACGACATTTACAATCAGTCGTCACTACTCTCACAAACAGAGCGCAAGATCTCTGTGCCCCTGAATTTGTGGAACAAGAACTATCCCACGTTCAAGAAGTACTCAAGAAAAATGGTTACATAAAGAGTAGAAGGCAAAATAAGCGCGTAACAAAAGCTAAAAAACCGGAAGTGAACAGGCAGCCAGCGTACATGACTTACTTAAGAGGAATAACGGACAAAATTGGAACAGCACTAAATAAATACTCCATTAAGACTGTATATTATCCGCCCTCAAAAGTAACGAACAATTTACGTTCACCAAAGGATAAGCTACCTTACGAAGCTCCAGGTGTCTACAAAATTGACTGTAGTTGTGGTAGCTCTTATATTGGCCAAACAAAACGATCAATAGCCGAGAGAGTCAAAGAGCACATCGCAGCGGTTAAAAATCGACAACCACACAAATCAGCGATTGCCGATCATCTACTGAACGCAGGAACAAATCACTGGATTGAACTACATGCGCCTAAGGTCCTCTCTACTGATCGCCACTATTACCCACGAATGGTCCGGGAGGCGATTGAAATTAAAAAACATCCCAATTTCAACAGAGAGGATGGCTTAAAATTATCATCCGCGTGGAATCCAGTCATAAATAAATTTAAGCAAAGTTCAGTAGCATCAATAGTCAATAAGTGTACGGATACCGTGAGTGCTGTGTGTCGCGAACTTTCGTTAAACAATCTAGTGACGGTAGATGAAGAAAAAACTGCTGTCACCTATCTACATTGACATCGCTGTTACTCCAGTCAGCTCGTGACCACGGCTAGTGCAACCTAGTCGAAACGTCGAGAGAGGTAAATACCTTTATTTGCCATAAAATTATTCGTGTTAAGACCCGGTTAATAATTTAAATAATTACTTGGTTTTGGCCCGTAATACGCCGCAAAGCGTATAGACCCAGCAAAACATAAAACTAGATGGCGCTGTGTGAGTTGTCCTGAGATAATAATAATAATTATATTACTAGCTGATTTATATATTTGAAAATATAATTGTATATTTTATCACCGTTTAAACCTTTCATAGACTTCCACGAATATTTCAATACTAAAATTAGCCAAATCGGTTTTTCTCGAGTTTTACCGAGACTAACGAACAGCAATTCATTTTTATATATATAAATGATTATTAATCATTATATTTATGGAAGATTATTAGCTTTCGAAGTTACTTATTTCCCTTAACTTTGAATGTAAGAAATGGTGGGATTCAGCGATCGCCCGAGGAGTCGCAGCTTTGGTCTTGTACTCAGTACAATTAGGTATAATTATATTATATTTTATACACGTATTGTCATGTAGATACATTGCCGTAGGGAACACTACACCTGTGTATATAAATATTTATATATATATACCAGAAATTCATTTTGTTGTTCACAAACAGATATATACGTGAAACGGAAATTGTAACTTGGAGAAGTTTTCAAGATTCTTTTAAATCTCTAAATAGTCTAAATAGAAATAGAAATAACAAACATCCATGAATCGATTTATACTCACTGTTTATAATGTACAAGATAAAAGTCAAACTATTTCATTAAAGAAGATACGAGCTCAGACAGTAAATGTACGTTTTTTTTTTATTAGCACATAGTTGCATCCAACTACAACACAAACACCTCCACCAGTTCTTAGCATTCTAGTTCTAAAGCACCGAATAAATGTTTTTTTATCTAAATAGAGAAATAGAAATAATCTTTATTCAAATAAACTTAATATAAGCCTTTGTATAGTCAAGTTTTTTTATTCTACCGCTCATGCAGACTCATCACAATAAGAATGAGCAAGAGACTTGTGTGTTGCTCTTTTAAATAAATATTGATTTACTTATATTTAATTAACAACAAGGATTAGGCATGCGACAATCAACATAGAAACCGCTACGCACTTAATCTCTGTTCAATCAGATAACATTGTCAGGGCTATGAATTTTAAAGGTGACTGACATAGTGATCTATCAACGCACAGCCCAAACCTCTGGACGGATCGGGCTGAAATTTGGCATTTAGGGGATGAAAGTTTGTATGAAACTTTGTCAATTATAAACCGATTGGGCTGAGACTTTGCGTGCATAAAGCTACTATGACGTTGGCATCCCCTAAGAAAGGATTTTGATAAATTCCACACCTAAGGGAATAAAATAACGCGAGCGAAGTCGCGGGAAAAAGCGAGTTAAATTATAAGTTCTTGACTATGTAACCTCCTCCTGGCGCCAATGCTGGATCCGCCCTTGCAAACAGACTCTGTCTATTAGTAGGTAGGCAGTAATTACGTCGCCAGCGTACATCTTGTTAGTAATAAATAAAAAACCGCCATGTTTTTTTGCCGTAGTGAAATGGCCGCGGCCAGAGCTACCATTTTAATATCGCGACAGTGAATAGTTAATGAGCATTTGAAACTGTTCTCTCTCATTATTACAATTAAATATTATTTGCTCTGTCGCTGTGTAATCAGAGATTTTGGCTCGTCAATAACGGAGTCTCAAAGCGATTGTTAATATCCAACGATGAATTTAATTTCTTGAGCGACTCGACAAAATAGAAGGCAACTGTTTATTTAGTTACTCAAGTTCTTTTACTAAGGAATTGCAATTAAAATTGAATTTTATTATAGAACTAGCTTTTTGAATAAACATTATTTCACATTTATTCCATCTAAATATATACAACTCAAAGGTGAGTAGTGATCTATCAACGAACAGCCCAAACTACTGGACAGATCGGGCTGAAATTTGGCATGCAGGTAGATGTTATGACGTAGGCATCCGCTAAGAAAGGATTTTGATTCATTCTGCCACCAAAGAGACAAAATAGGGGATGGAAGTTTGTATGAAACTTTGTCAATTTTAAACCGATCGGGCTGAGACTTTGCATGTATAAAGCTACTATGACGTAGGCATCCCCTAAGAAAGGATTTTACAAAAGCTAGTCTAAGTATATGTATATCAAATATATGGTAATCTTTTTTTTATTGATGTAATGTATTTTTTCTGCATAATTAAAAAAAATGTATTCGGCTCTCGTTCTCTATATTAACGACATAAACATAGATATTTTTTTATATAAACAACTAGCTACTGGCCCCGGCTTCACCCGGGTGTACATGTATTATACATATAAACCTACCTCTTGAATCACTCTATCTATTAAAGAAAACCGCTTCAAAATCCGTTGCGTAGTTTTAAAGATTTAAGCATACATAGTGACGGACAGACAGCGACAGCGACTTTGTTTTATACTATGTAATGAGAAGTGTGTAATATCTCATACTCCACCATCCACGTATTTTCGTAAAATGTTATACAAAGTTATTGATATATCTAAATTTAAATTTTCGTTACTAACAAATTGATTTGATTGAATTGAGCTGAATTCTTTGAGACATATTTTGGCAATTGTAAATATAGTTAAAATAGTTTATTTCCAATGCAATTATTAATTATCAACATTATATATATATAAATATTTGCTGACAGATATCTACCTATCTATCTAATAATGTGATAGATAAAAGGTTGATAGCTAACACAATAGCCCGTTGATTGGATGGTAACACTGCGGCGGACTGCGGAAAATAGCTCGGAACGGAACGCCAATGGATTTTCAAAATACACTCGTTTATGATATAAAATCTCGAAATGATATATAAATATACGTAGATATTTTTATATAATTTCTAAACGAGTACCTACTGCTACGTTTACATTCAGCCGCTTCCCCTGTCACTCGCGCTGCCGGAAATATTACCGGGCGACAACTGAGGGCTGAATGTAAAAACACGCTGCCACTTGCGCTGCCAGTCCTTTGATTGGCGCACGAAAAATCGGCAATCGAGGGAGTGCCGGGCAGCGCGAGTGGCAGCGCCAATGGCATGCTAAGTGGTTACACTCTCGCGCTGCTCACTTCCCTGCACACTCGGGCTGAGTGTAAATTGTGCATCAAACTGTACTTGTAGACATCTGGATTGGACTGGGAAGGGAGAGAAATATGAGTGATGAAGGTGAGTCAATATTCACCACTAGCAAACCGCATTACATTCGATGGCCGCAGGTTCGTTCTTGCACGATGCAAACATTTGCATACATAACTATTGTTTGCATCGGTCTGGATGTTTTCGATGTATATTATGTATGTAGTTACAAAAAATATATACATATATATTAATATCAGTTGTTTAGTGGCCATATGTTTTTTTTTATATCACAGGGTACAAACGAGCATGCGGCTGACCTGATGGTAAGTGATTACTGCCGCCCATGAGCACCCGAACATCAAGAGAATTGCAAGTACGTTGTCAGCCTATTAAAAAGGAATAAGCTCTTTTCTTGAAGGTTTCAATATCGTATCGGTTCGGAAATACCATTGCTGGAAGGTGATTCCACAACGTGGTTGTGCAAGGCAAAAAGTTACTAGAAAACCGTACTGTGGAGGACCGCCATTCATCCAGATGATCAGGATGGTATTTTAGTTTCTGGAGGGTGGTACGATGGTGAAACTCAGCAGCTGGTATTATGGGCAGCTCTGATTAGCAAGAGACTAGATGGCGTTGTGTGAAAAAAATATAAGTCCACTTATATTGCCTGTGATCATACATTCACGGTAAAGCACAATAAATTTACTCATATTTGTAATATTAACAATATATTATACTATTTTATAAAATGTGTATAATATATAAGGATGCCTTGAAGGTAGCGTCAAAAGGGTTGGCTGAATTTTATTGAGCTACAGTTAACACTCGCTGTATTTTATGAAATAGAATCCACTATTCACATATGTATTTTATATTGAAAGAAAGAAAGAAAGAAAATATTTATTGACAACCATTAAAGAATAACTACTTTCTTTCTTTCTTTCATTCTTTCTTTCTTTCTTTCTTTCCTTCCTTCTTTCTTTCTTTCTTGCTTTCTTTCTTTCTTTCTTTCTTTGTTTCTTTCTTTCTTTCTTTCTTTCTTTCTTTCTGTCTTATATTAAGTTTATTTGAATAAAGATTATTTCTATTTCTATTTCTATTATTTTCCTGGCCAGTTTTTATGTGACCGTTTAACGGCCTCATCTCAATAAATTCAAACATAATC